TTCCAAAATACTCCTATGGTGTGCCCCCAAACTTTCAGGAGGTTCTCCGCTTTTGGAACAAAAAGTTATTTAACTTCAAATCAATGCTTTATTTATTACTAATAAATACATACTTACACTGTTTAGGTTTAAAGTTTCTGTAAGTAGTTAATAGTAATTTTATTAACTAGTAAATTATATATAAATTAAATGCAAATAATTAATTAAATGTTAACATTTGTACAAAAGTGTTGTTTATTAAATATAAATGTATTTTTTAGCCGGAAATAACACACGAATCTAATGAAAGTGCGATGAGTACTGTGTCTGCGGTAGAATTGAAACTTTTCGTATTTTTCAATTCCCTTCCTTTCCCTCTTCCCTTCAATGATGAAAAGAGGGAATCCCTTTCCCTTCACTTTTTTCAAACAACATCTTTTCAAAAACTACTGGTATATAACATGTTCAAATTTACATTTTGTTAAAAATTTACAAACAGTTAATTATATAATTGCTGTCTCTACAGATAAAAGATTACAGAAAAATGTTTTTAACTGAGTAAATAAAATAAAATAAATTATAAATAATCAATAGTTAAATTTTAATTTTTATATAATAATTGTATAATAATTTAAATTTATAATATACTGTAAATAAGGTTATTATTAGGGAGAGGCAGTTTCGGCTCAAGGTTACAGCTTTCAAGTAGTAATAAAAAAGCCTGTATAGTCACATACCATTGCCATCTCAGTCAACACAATGTTATGCATAGCATATGCGTGGCATACATTGTGTTGACTGAGATAGCAATGGTATGTGACTATAGAGTAGTGAAAGGCTAGGATTACTTCTAGGATTATAAATAGTATTTTACTCATATATAATGTGACTGATATGAGTGGTGGGGTTTAATGAAAGTTGTGATTCATATTTATATCAAACACAAATTATTTACGCTTTAAACCTGTTCACTTATATTTCAAGGGCAGGTAATGATTAATTTAATAGTAATCTTTATAGTGTATGATAATTCAGTAGAAATAAAATTCGGCCGATTCCTACTATAGAGGCTTTTTTATTACTACTTGATATTTGATAATTTTAGCACAAAGTGCCACAGCTTAGTTATTATAAAGTCTTCTTATTAAGTCTTTTTCTAATTACATTAAATTAATTTTTAATTTATGAAAAACATATGTTAACAAATATGGCATAAAATTTAATAAAATTTATTAAAAATGAAAAAGTAGTTAAGTTACTATAAAGTAATAGTTGTTTAATTGACTCAAACCAAGTGGACATTTTGCTCAAGATGTTTGACATAAAGTATATAATATTGTTTTTCTTAATAAACATGGTCAAAACTGACCCAAACCTTAACAAAAACATCAGGTAAATATATAACACGGTCAGACATTTAATTTTAATGGCATTTTAAACCATTATTGTTCATTAATTATAATCATGTTTATTAATAAGTATTGTGATCAAAATATTATTTTTAAACTTGATAACTAACAATAGCCTAATCTAACTATTAGTGTAAGTAATAGCGGTTCTGTCAAACAATTGAGTGATCGAGTGATTGATACGTTGGTCGACTATATGGCGACAATGTTTACCAAGGATTACGTCAAGAAGACACTAATGACGGGTGAAATGAGTGATCAAAACATGCGCTTCGGTTGGATATTCGCTAAGAGAACCAAAGCTATCTATAGAGGTGAGTCATACCATCTATATGGGTTAGTATTATATCATGTTCTCAAAAACCCTAACATATAAATATTTTTACTTATTTGTATTAATGATGTACATAATGTAATTGTTAATAATCATTTTTGTTATATAGTCAGACTAGACAAATTCGCCATCTTCTTACTTTGAGTGGCTGCGACAAGGTTTTGTTTTACACTGGTAATTTTATTAAAACAATAAGATAGATAAATAATTATTTGAATTCATATATGAGGGACTGAGAGCAAAATAAACGTCCAGTTTTAATGTTGTCTTTACTGCTATGTCTATTGTATTTGCTATAGCAGTGCATAATAGACATAGCAGTAAAGACAACATTAAAACTGGACGTTTATTCTGCTCTCAGTCCCTCATATAGATATACAAAAAGTTGGAGAGGTAATATTATAATTTATAAACTTGACAAAATACGTTGGGAATACAGTGAATGTCTTGTAGCTGATCCAGTCGTGATTGATATGGGCATGTCTAGTATTGTATGGCGATTCGTAAACAATCGTCAAAACGTGCGAATGACCAGAATCACAGAAGTTATGGCCAAATTTCCAACCACTTGCATAGGGCTGAATGCATTGAAAATTGGCTTTTCACATAAGTTATGCCATTCACCAAAACTATAATGCTATAAAGCGTATGCAAGTGTCTAGAAATATGACCATAACTTTGGTGATTCTGGCCCTTCGCACGTTTTGACGATTGTTTATAAATTTCCATATAATACTGGACATGACCATATCTTTACATTCTATACCTCCCCCGAGAACACTTTAAGGCCTTAGCCCTCACTTTAATTAGTTATGCACTTTATAATATTCATATGTGTATTAAAGTACATTATAAATGACGAATATATATTCAGTGCTTGTATTTGTCATTTATAATGTACTTCAATACACATATGAATATTATAAAGGGCATAACTAATAAAGTGAGGGCTAGGGCCTAAAAGTGTTCTCGGGAGGAAGTATAATATCTAAAACCATATCAATCACGTCTGGATCAGCTACAAGACATTCACTGTATTCCTTTTTAAGTTTATAATATTCCCAAACCTCTTTAACCTCCTGTATATCCGCATATGAATTTAAACAATTAGTTATCGATCTTATTGTTTTAATTAAATTACCAGTCTAAAACAAAACCTTGTCGCAGCCAATCAAGGTAAGAACAATGGCAACTTTGTCTAGACTAATTATATAGTGTAGTATGGCAATATTATACGATATAAGTACGTATTATAGTTTATAGTTAATAGGATATTATAGTTTAAATATATGCAAAGCCTAGTTAGACCTTTATACAATAATAGCGTGCCTACGCGCCCCAGTTGGTTTTCCAGCAATACATCGTTTATTAGGGACGACATAGACATACACTATAACCTCAGTACTCAAACACTATTTTATGATTAAAAGAAATGTAAAAAGTGTTTTTTTATACAGTTGGAGACAGTTAAGACTAATAACAACACGTAAAAATAAAAGGATAAAGTTCAGTGTTGATGGGTAAAATGTCAAAAAAGACTATGCCCATTTGTGTGANTCCAGAAGACACTAATGACGGGCGAAATGAGTGCTGAAAACATACGGTTTGGTTGGATATTCGCTAAGAGAACCAAAGCTATCTATAGGGGTGTGTATTATATCATATAATATATGTATATATGTATTATATATTTACGTATCTGTTTTAATCGTGAGATTAGATGTATCTTTACATAATATAAATGTTACATAATATAAATAAAAACTACATAATGTAAAATGGCGATACACCAATCACTTGTTATATTATAGTTTAAGTATATGAATAGCCTAGTTAGACTTTTAATTATAATTAAGGTAGTTTTCGAAGTAATTTAATATCCTATTCTATTATATAATTACAATAAATAAAAATAATAAAACAGAGTGTCGAGAAAATATAAATTTAACCAAGTATACATTGATTAATATTTTACTTTAAATTAATACTTGACTACATAGCCCGTGTTGAGCTAGTAAGACTAAGTCTTACGTTGGCCAGGGATGATAAAAGTCGTCAACTACTCGAAGCATTTGACAGTACTTTTGCCCCAAAAATAGCCCTATTTTACCAGGACTTTGATAAACAATTGGGTGCCGTTGGGGGCGATGTCAAGCGCAGGCCAATGGACGAGACGGTAATTGACTATCAGCTAATGATTTTCCGCGAAATGAACCGTGGTTCATTGGTACGTATGATGTTGGTAAACTTGGTGCCCAAATGGCGTTTACTACACGTATGGGAATATCTCAAAAGTCAGCCCCAGTATCGGCCCAGTCCTCTGTCCGACAAATTGTTGCAATTGGACTTTGATGTGAAAGAGTCTGTGAATACGTATAAAACTATTATTGATTTAAACGCTAAGAATATTACGGCCGCCGGAGAGCAAGAGCTGATCCAATTGGCCAAAGAAGCCAATGAATTGCATTGTAAATTTTATAAAACTATGTAACTTTAGTTGGTTTTGTTGACAATTAATTTGTTAGTCTGTAGATTAAAAATGTAATATTAGTATTTATAATCTAAGTTATGAATATTAATTTATTGTAATCTACCAATAATATAAATAAATTGTCGTTTAAAATTTATTGATTCAATATAGATTTTACTAATATCGTATGTAAAATTTTTAGTATAATCATTATACCATAGTAGCCATTATACTATAAAATAGTGTCACTGTATTATAGTAGTTAAGATGTTGGTCATATCCACATATGATCTATGCTTTCAGGACTTTTTTTAAAGTAATTTATTATATTTATATCTACTAGTTTACAGAACCCCCATAGCGTGCCCGCCCCTAACCCCCAATTTGTTTTTACCTAACTTAACATAATATAACTATACATTAATGTTAACCCCGTTTGGGAGGGGTGGAGGCGAGACAATACATACTGTAATTGCTATATAATAATGTTTGTTCAACAATCAAATTCGTGCGCGCGCTCACAATTTTTGGTATTTTAATTTAAATAAATTAAATTAATTTTATTGTTGCGGCAGGGCGAGCTAAAGTTGCATATTCATTTGTTGCCAGATGCTTACCAACAAAAATCGATTATTATATTAATTATATTTCATTATAAAATATTTATATAATTTTTAATGGAATTTATATTTGAGAATAAAGCCCTCAATTAAAAGTAGGACCAAAATTAAAGATATGGTCTGTTTTTAAATGAATGTTAATTTATAATTATGGTAATATTTGTTAACCA